CCGGGGGCCGTGGGGTCTGAGAGCCTTTTCTAGGGTCCGAAAGAGCTGACCGTACCCTAGGGTGGCGCAAGACCCCCGGGACTCTTTCAGAGCATTGTACGCTGCTTTGTTGGAGACAAACGTTAGGCCGAGTTCAGATAATTCTGGACATTTGGACATTTTAAAATCCGTGCATTTTGGATTTTTTAATATCCGTTTATTTCGGTGAAAAATCTGAACTCGACGAAAAATCATGTGGACATTTCGACCTCTCGACACAGCATATCGTTCGACGCCCAACAAGTAACAAGGTTTGTCTGGAGACGTGCGAGAAGTCGTGTGTGAATAGCATACACATTGCAAGATCAACCGAGGGACACTTAGTAACGCGGAGGATGGCCTACTGGGTCGTTCGGCGGGTTGGGCTCAGACTGAAGACCTGTCCGAAGACCAAAGCTGTCAATATACGTATCAAGTCCAGCACTTGGCTCCTAGCTTGATTGATGTAGCTATTGATGTGCAGCACGACGCCGTCTAGTTTAGAGATTGCTCTTGGTGCTTCGGGTCGTGATCGTCCATGTCGCGGCCGGCATGATCCACCTATTTCGTGGCGTTGGCACGCGCCGTCTGCCCTTTGATATCAATGCGCGTGTGGACGTGTGGACCTTGGGGTGCTCAAACTGCTGCGCGGCCATTGCCGCGTGTGCCCGTGACGCCGCCGAGGAAAGAGGCAGTCGCCCTGCCGCTGGGAAACGAGTTCGCCAAGAACCGATCATGGTCGAGGCCGAGGATCTACATGGTATCCTTGGGCACCGTCTAGACCATGCGCGGGTGACGCGAAGCAGCGGAGCGGGTCGTCCAGGGCGCGCTTGCCGTTGTGCACGAGGAAGCACGCAGCGCCGTCTGGGCAGAGTCGCGCCTGCGACGACGAACGCGGCCTGCGCTATCGATGCGCGCTGTCGGTGAGCTCTTGACTACTCCTGAGCGTGCACTGATCGTGCACCAGCGTCGTTGTCATCCGGGCGCCGTAATGAGAATGCGACTGGCGCTGACTGGCGCCACTTCCACCGGATGGACCACCGGATGGACCTCTATGAAATGATAATATCCAGAATGCCAAAATGTCCAGCAAAAAATCCATCATTTTGGATGGATTTGTTTTGCCGGGTATTCGGCCAGAATATTCGGGAAAATATGCGCATATTTTTATCTGAACTCGATTCACTTTGAAAAAAAACGGATATTTAAAATAGCCACCGAATATCCGGATATTTCGATTTATCTGAACTCGGCCTTAGGTATAATGCTTGCGCGGGATACTGTACCCGAACGCCACTTCGTTGTGGCGATAGAAAACGTCTTTCTCGTCGCAATTGAGCATATCCTCGAGCGGTGTGACACACCGAGAACCATCACTCACGAGTGATGGTCATTTTTTTTTTGGCACAAATCGCGGGCACATATCCGGTCATAGGGCTGGGCTGGGATCTCGTACATAACCTAGGGCAATCTACAAACAGGGATGTATGAGGGGCGGGGGGCGGCCATCATGGCGGGTCCACCCTAGGGTAGGCCTTGACCCCCTGGGTGACCAGGGGTCCTGATACAATTGTACAACCCAACCTCATCGAATGTGGTATTTTTGCCATCTTCAACTCCATCTACTGCGTCGCCGCCTTTGATGACCTCTGCGCTCTCACATCATCTGGCCCTCTCTACTTTTCAGACTGGTACACCCCAGCCAAGGCGTCGCGCATCGCGGAGAGTGTCGTCAACTAGTGAACACCTAGAGCTATCCAAACTTCATGTTTGCGTGCCATCCAATTTGAACCAAATAGTTCCGACCAGCCGACCCCACAACGGACCTGTTACCAGCTGAGCTACTAGTGCAATGTACGGTATTTGTCTATCGTGGAGACCAGCGTCGTGGACAACGTCTTGTGCATCTTTGTCCCCAGCTTCTTTTGCCCAGGGCGAAATGTGGCATATGCCACGAATAAGTAAAAAGGTTGAACTTGGTGCTTGTGACGTAACCAGCTTCGCTTACCTCGCCAGGTGGTTCTGACGTCACCTCACACCCCTCATGAGCGCCTTCTTCTACGGTACTGCTGTGCATGACCAAATGCGGTCATGACTCGACTCGTTCGGCTTGTGCTTTACGGATGACATGTTGCAATCATTCGAAACGTATTTCGAGCCGATTGAATGGCGACGCACAGTCGCCGTCGCGCCGAGTTATGGCTGGACGACGAGCCCGCCGAGCCGATGAAAGAGCTTAGCTTCTCGAGCAACAAGCGGCTCGCCAACGTAGCAAAGGGGCTTGCCAACCTCGCTTTAAAGCCACGCCGCGCCGTCAACCACAGCGTGCGTCCTCGTGTGGTGCACTGGCGCTGCATGGCAATCGTAGGATCCTCGCCTTTCACTTCCGACGCGGCGCTTCGAGGCGCGACAGGCGTCGCTTGCCAGCGATATATCGCGTAACCTCTTGTCGCCGACAGAGCGAGCGCTCGATGCGCACATCGCTTTTGTGCGCGACCTCGTTGAAGATGGGCGCGTCTTTGAGCTTCGGACCGAGCTGCGAACGTTGAAGCGCGAGGTTTCTTCGTGGAAGGTACACTATTACTACGTATACTGTGTCTGGGATCGGAGTGAATAAATCCGACCTCATCTTGTCGGACTAGACACAGTGGGTCTTTCTCAACAAGAGTGGCTCGGCGCTCGCGTGGCGCGCACCGACGTGGTGGCGACCGACGCCGGCGCGGCCGTCGACATCTGGGTATCTGAGCCGCAGCAATGCGCTGCAGCTGAGTGACGTCGAGGACGTCATTTCTACCGCGGTGGAACCCGCGGCGCCGTATACTATCCAGATTACGACGTCAAAGAAAATGCTCTGGGTCGCATGTCGAACCAAGGAGGACCAAGCCCAAATGGAAGCCAGTGTGATAAAACTGGTCCGCCAAACCAAGCGGCGCCAAGCTGCCCGCAGCAATTAAAATGACACATTGTTCGTTTTCCTGTAGACCGACTAGACAAAAAGAATTAGACTCTGGAACAATGCGCTGTGCCCATGTAGCGCGTAGTGTCCAGTCGTTGGCATCGCGTCGGTCGCCGTCGTCGTGATATCAGGTGCCACGTGAGCTCAAAGATCGTGCGTGGATTTCCACCAATCGTATGCTATCTTGCAGATGGCTTGTCTCTGATTGGGTGACACAGCGTGAGCTTCAAAGGTGCGTTTGGGGTCCAAACCGCCCCTGTCACACCTTATCTTTAAAAATGCATCAATTGACTAGATGTTTGTATGTATTATAAATGCGAAGATTTCGAAGCCAGAGAAAAATGACAAAAAGGGAGGCATACAAACCCCAAGTGGGTTCTGCCAAGGGGCGCCCATGGATCGAATTTTGCGTCTCATTCCGCGATTTCCTTCGATACACAAGGTCCGTCCGTCTACGATCTTAGTGCTCGACGCACGCCAGTAGCTGAGCTCATGGACTAAACGCGTAGCATGGGCAACGTTCACGGCCACGCGCTGCTCATGGCAGGCCTCACCGCGCTCCTCGTGACGACCATGTGGTTCCTCTCGGCGAAGCGACGCGCCCTGCGCACGTACCGGTACCGCGATGGCTTTGCTGCATTTGAGGACACCAAGGCGACGACAACGCCACGGCCCACGCGCATGCCGGTTATTCAAGACCGATACCTCAAGTCCAAGGTGCCGTCGACGCTGGATGCGATCGTCGTGGGCAGTGGCATTGGCGGTCTCGGTGTAGCTGCCATCCTCGCGCGCATGGGCTGGCGCGTGCTGGTCTTGGAGCAGCACGACCGCGCTGGCGGTGCCACGCACACGTTCGAGGTATGCATCGTTGCCATTATCACGTGCACTGAGAAACGGAATGATTCGCAGGACATGGGCGTCGAGTTCGACACGGGCACCCACTACATTGGCTCGATCGACCCGCAGTGCCGCGAGTACATGGAGCTCATGGGCATCGGCGACGATGTGCTGCAGTGGGACCCGATCGGTGCGCACGAAGACGGGTTTGCGTACGACAAGGTGGCCGTCGGCGAAAACGGTAGCTTCCAAGTCGCCTTTCCCGCGGGCCGCGACCGCTTCATTGCCGAGCTTCTGCGCAAGTTCCCGGACGAGCCCAACCTCAAGGAACAGCTCGAGGCGTACGTCGACCTCTGCGAGCGAGCGACCAAGCTCTCCCAGTGGTACGCTGACATTGCCTTTTGAGATTGCCGTTTGATGAATCGCGTTTTAGGTTTTACACGCTCAAGGTCGTCGAGCCGCAGTGGCTCGGGTCGCTCTTGATTCGCATTGCGCTCTTCTTTGGCGACCGCCACGGCTTTATGCGCCGCAACACGACCGACGTCATCGACAGCATCATCTCCAACAAGCTTCTCCAGCGCGTATTGTGCGGGCAGTGGTACACCCTCTACTTGTACCTCCTCGTCTCACGTCCATCATGCTGACAGGGGCGACCACGGCGTGCTTCCCGACTCGGCGCCGTTCTACATGCACAGCCAGATCGTTATGCACTACATGAATGGCGCGGTCTTTCCCCGTGGCGGGTCGGCCAAGATCGCCGAGGGTCTCGTGCGCTCCATCGAGCAAAGCGGCGGCCGCGTCCTAGTCAAGGCCTCGGTCGCACAAGTGCTTGTCGAGGGCGGGAAGGCCGTCGGCATCCAGCTTGAGAACGGCGACACCTTCCACGCTCCCGTCGTCGTCTCGAACATTGGGTTCTTCAACACGCGCGACAAGCTCCTCGACTCGTCGACGCTGGCGACTCTACCTCCCAACTGGCGGCAGTTTGAGGTCGTCGCCAACGCACAGCGGTCCGTGACCATGTGCTTCCTCTTCGTCTCGCTCGAGGGCACCGTGAGTGAACTGGAGCTGCCGGCCTACAACGTCTGGTCGTGGCCCGACGTGACGGCGTCGACGACGTACACGGAGCGATTCCAGGAGGTGCTGCAGAAGGACCTCCACGCGAGCACGTCGCGGCCCGTGACGTTTATTGCGTTTCCGTGCGCCAAAGAGTCGACGTGGCACACGCGGTACCCCGGGAAGAGCAATGCGCTCGTGTTGGCGATGGTCAACTTTGAAGACTTTGCGCCGTGGGCCCACATGAAGAGCGCCGACCGGGACAAGGACGTCGCGTACCAAGCGATCAAGGCGCAGTGGAAAACCAAGCTCGAGAAGGAGCTGTACGCTTACTACCCGCAGCTGCAAGGCAAGGTCAAGGCCATGGACGTGGGCACGCCGCTGAGCTACAACACGTACTTGAACGCAGACAAGGGCGAGGTCTTTGGCCTCGAGATGGGCAAGTGGCGCTTTACGCCCGCAGCGTTTGACGTGCTCCGACCATCGACGCCGATTCCAGGTATGTGTGTGTGGCTCTGGATTCTGAAATCTGACATCTGAAATCTGGTTTAGGGTTTTACCAGACGGGCCAGGACATTGTCGCGATCGGCATCATGGGTGCGCTCATGTCGGGTGTCGTGACCGCGCACAACATTCTGCAGTTTGGCCAGTTGCCGTCGCTGGCCAGCGGGCACTTTGACTTGTACGACGACTGCAAGCAAAAAGGTGTCGTGCGACCGTCCAAGGCCACGATGGCCTAAGAAGAAGGCTAATTACCCTAACACGGTCCATCCTGCATCCTCTATCCATGGATCAAGTATCTAAACTTCAAGTATCCTGTGGGCACTCGTGTTGTTTAGAATACTAGTTCGAGTCCCTAACCCTTGGTTGTTCGGTCAGGCTAGTGGTCGGTGTAGGACGTTGCGTCGTGCTTGATCTGGAGACGCTGCAAGTCGCCCGAGAGGGTCTCGTCGTCGGTCGTCGCGACATCAAAGCCGGAGGCATACCCGAGACGCTCGATACAGGTCAGATGACGCAGCACGCATCGTATCCCAGGCGCGACGCTGCTCTCGCGTCGGACAAGCTCCATGACGAGCGGTTTAACCAGCAGCCAGAGAAAGCGACCGCCTATCGTTGGCACCACGCGCAAGAGCTGACGGAGCTCAGTGTCGCGCAGTGCTGCAACGTCGCCGTCGAGCAGATGCTGCACCAGCATCGGGTCGCCTTCGCAATGCAGCACGAGCTCGAGCCATGGCACCGGTGCGCTCAGTAGCGCACTCTGCACCGCCACATGTCCTTGGTCTACATATCGCATCAGTCTACTCGTCCCAGAAACAAAGCCGCACCAGCAAGCACGAGGCGGTCCTCGAACGCCGCGCTAATGTCCAGCACCGCGCAGAGCCGCTGCAGGGGGCAGACGCGCAACGTCTCGTCGAGGAGCGACCGAGCCAGCGTGTGGCGCTGAAGCCGCTCGTGCATGCGCACGGCCCACTCGCCGCCCTTTTCGCTGAACGTCCGGAGCCCCGCGAGCAACAACGGGTGCCACCCCTCGGTGGCAAGGAATGATGCAAACGACACACTTGACGCGTGCAGCGTCACCCAAATGTAGCAGTTACGGACGACCGAAAAGAGACTTCGGGGCCGAGCTTTGGCCACGCAGAACGCCAGCAGATGCGGGGGCACGTGCCGGACAAAGGCTCGCAGTCGCCGCCGCGCCGTTTCGGGCAAGAGCGTCGGCATTGTCGCGCGTTGCAACTGCAGCGTCCAATAGCGCACGGCCACCGCATCGTCGACCAAGCCGACGTCGCTCGGCACGAGGCGTTCGAGCAAGACGAGTTGATCGTAGAGCGCAGCGTCCTGGACGACGCTCGGACACAAGAGCGGTCGCGACGGGAGGAGTGCCGCGAGGAAGAGGCAGTCGCGCCACGTCGGCGACTCTGCTGCGTGCAGTCGGTCGAGAAGCACGTGGTCGTGCCACCCGGCAGCGGCCATCGGTGGCAAATGCCGCGGCGCCATCTGAACCAGCGAAAACACCGACGTCGTCGGGTGCGTTGTCGACGAATCAGTGGCCAGAGCATCCGGGACAAAGTACTTGACAAGGGTTTGGTGGGACGTCAGTAGCACACGAAACGCAGCGTTCAAGCTATGCGACAGCTGGAGCTGGACGTGGAGCCAGCTGCCGGCGACGCTCGTCTCGAACGAGCTCCACTTGATTTCGCAGCCCTAGACATATATCACGTGAGGCGGGAGAATCCACGTCGGACACGTGTACGTGGCACTGCGAGAGCGTGTTGAGACCGAAGCGGCAATGGCATACGGCGAGCTCCGTGGCTTTGAGCGTCGCGCGCGCCTCACGCGCAATGGCCTCGATCATCGGGAGGCGCACAAAGTGATAAAATCGGCTTTCCCAGAGCCGGACCGAAAGCACGTCGTTCGCCGGTCGAAGCTGCGCCGTGACGACCGATGCCGCCACGGTCGCCGACGCCATATAGGTCCGCTGCGACGCCTGGAACGTCGCCACCGCATGCAGCCCACGCACGAACGCGTCGATGCTCGTGTCGGCGAGTCGGCTCGTGTCAATTAAGTCGCAGAGGTGACCGCGCAACGCTCCGTCCGGACAGACAGCGAGCAACTTTTCCCAGAGCAGCGACGCTGGCGACGACGACGGTAGCGTGCTGATCGTGGCTGTGACCAGCGTCGTCCATGCTGGCGATTGAAGCAGCGCGAGTACCTTGGTGAGCATGGCTTCGATTGGCCGTGAGAAGCGCGGCAACACGAGGGGCACGGACTGTGATGCCACCAGCGTCATCATGAGCGGGTTGGCGCTCACAATGACTTCAATGCTCGGGCCATCGTCCATGGGCGACTGCAAGAGGCGCTGAAGCTCCTCACGCCGCGCCGTGTCGACTTGCGTCGTTGGCACCCATGTCATGAGGGCACTCGTGGCTGCATTGAGGAGCTGGACAATCTCGACGCCGTACAGTGCGCAAAATGTCAGCGCTTCCTCTTGGTCGCCGACACTCGCATCGTCGCTGCGGGTGGCCACAAGAAGATGCGACGGAAGATCGGCGTCCAGCAGCGCCAAGCGAAGGTGCCCCGATGTGACGACGTGGGAGAGAAGCGACTATGCACGATGGATTGCTATATCGACAAGAGAAATGCGCGTACCTGGGCCCGCGCGGTTTGCACTGGCGTGTACTCTGTCGGGCGACACCACCATTCGGGGGCGTCGATCCACAGCTGCACCCATTGAAGAACGACGTTGACGACCGCGTCAGATGTCGAGAGCGCGACGAGGAGCGCGCGCACACCCGCTGGGCAGTTGTCCTGCTCCAGTGCCTTGGCCATGCGCAACGCAAGGCTGCACGCAACGTACTCGAGCAAAACGTCATCGTCGTCAGTGCCCGCATGCGCAGTCGTGAGGAACCAGTTGATAATGGGCCGAAGCTCGTAGCGCCAAAAGGTCATGTCGACCGTCGCGAGGAAGGCGTCGAGCAGCGCGCGGCTCAGAATCGAGTCGCTGCCGCTGCGAGTGACAAGGTCTGCGACGGCGTTGGGAAGCGCATGCTGGCGGAGGAGCGAGCAAACCAGCACATGTGCCATGCTTTGCACATGGGCTTTCGGACGGTGCGGTGCGGCGCCGAGGTACCCTGCGTGTTCTAGAATGGGCACGAGCAGCCGCGGCGCCGCGTGCAAGAGTCTCGCTATGATCGGGGCTTCGGCGTACACGACCGGCGTCTCGTCGTTGGGGAGCACCCACTGCCGCCGCCTGCTAGCAACTTCGTCGAGGAGTCGTCGTTGGAATAAAAGCACACTGCGAAGCTCCGCCATCGCTCGAGCATAAGAAGCGACGAGGCCGCGGGCGTCTCGGCAGTAGAGCAGCTCCGTGCACTCGAGCCACATGGCTCTGGCGGGTGTGTAGGGACGAGCGGGCGGCACGGGCGACTCGACATCGCATTGCCCGACCCTCTGGAGGTCGTCGCACGCCTGGCGCTGAATGGCCGCCAAGGCCGTCCGTACCGCGACGTGAGGCAGCCGCGCTGTCTCGGCGAGCAGCGCCGCTTGCAGCCAGCTGGGGTCAAAGGTGCGAAACGCGCGTACGAGTGGCGCGTCTGTAGGGGCGACGGACGCAACCCGGTGCACGAGCCAGACCCATGCGGCCTGTAGATGTGGGTACACCGGTGGGTGCAGCTCTTGCGGCAGCATCATCTCGTCGATCGAGAGTCGTAGAGCAAGGCGAAGGAGCAGCGCGACGTACGCTTGCTGCGCATACGGCGACAGCGCCGACGCCAAGGCGGTCCATAGACTTGGAACGACGTGGATCGAGGGCGGATGCTGCGGTTCGAGCGCCAAAAGCACCCACGGCAAGGTCGTCGACGATGTCTGTTGAGGAATGCGGTCGTAGAGAGCTGTGATGCTGGGCGACGGAAGCAAAGGCGGAGTTGACGTGCGGTGAAGGAGGTTGCAGAGCACGGCGAGCACGTGGTCGAAACCATCGTCGTCCGCGGTCGGCAGGAGCTCGAGAAGGGACGGTAGCAGCGAAATAAGCGTGTCGTGCTGATCGACGGCGCGGGACGCATTCCAAAGATGCGGCAAGGACGCTCGCGTCACAGCGCTGGGTATCTTGATGCGCACGTCGTGTACACCGTGGAGCTCATGCACCGGTGGTAGAACGATATCGGCGCCGACAATTGAGCGCACTGCTTCGCCGGCGTGCTGCAGATGCACCGCAGGGTAGAGTGCGTCGCAAGCTCTCTCGTAGTAGCTACACGCAAAGATCTTGTGATCGTCTTGGCTCGACAAAGGTGCTTACGCGCGGACCCCGGAGAACGCTTGAACGATGATCGTCTCTGCGTAGTGCCGGTGGCGGTAGAAGACGAGCGTGCCAGGCCCGGCTGGCCCACTGCTATTTAGGTCCAGCGCAACACTCAAGATATCGTGGGCCTCAAAGGCCATGTGTGTCGCGACAACGTCGCCGGCATGCCACAAGTCGCCGTTGGAGGCCAAGCCCCAGCCATGGCCGTCGCAGTCGCGGACCTTGCCGAGCCCGACGCCTTTGCGGATTTGGCCACTGACAACTCCGATCGCAATACCCTATACGATGACATGAGGTTGCTGACGACGAGTCAATGATGCGAACCTCGTGGCTTGCAAGAATCTCGAAATGGACGGCCCACACCGGTCCGAACGGCGTTGCCGCGACTGCCATGTGGCAGCGGCCGTCGCTGGCGGCCACGCATGCGACGGTGGAGCCTGCGTCGTCCTGTGTCACCTGAAGCTCATTGCCGTGGGCGGTCGCGTCAAAGGCAAAGTCGCCGCCGATCTTGTCGGTCATCGCCACCGCAAGAAGGATATCCGGATACCCTGCACCGAAATCCAGAATCTCCCGAAACAGAGTTTCAAACCGAGTTTGCCGATGCCCACACATGAGTCGTTGACAACAATGCTGCCACCTCCGCTTCTTCGTGGCGCAGCAAGAATGAGTTCATGATGCACCAGAGATTGATAATGCAGGCAGCAGGGTCGGCTCAATTCCCGTTGCGGTCGTGACTTGCACCCAAGTGCTCGGAGCGTAGCTATCTTTAGGTCATTTGCCATGTTTGGGGGCGGCCACCAACAAGAGAGCCTGCGCGACGCCCAGCGGAAGCGCCAAAACGAGTACTCGCAGGCGCTCGCCGAGCAAGTGCGGGCGCAGGAAGCCAAGAAGAAGGCGGAGCGCGACGCGCTGCGGTACGCCCGCGAGCCAGAGGAAGCGACCAACGGCGGCCTCTTTGCCGGCTTTGGCAACAACCACGCGTACGGCAAAAACCACGCGCGTGGCCACCACGTCGAGAAGATGGTTGCGGCAACCAAGGCGCCGCCGCCAATGGAAGCCCCGCCTGACATGCCACAGGCGCCGGGACATGGGCCGCCAGGAGGGTTCTATGCCCCGCCAGTGCACGACCACGCCCCTTTTCACGAGCAGCACCAGCAGGGTCCGCCACCAGGACAACCATATCAGCAGCAACATCATTTTCAGCCAGTTCCAGGGCATCACCACAGCCAACCGCCGCAGTACTCGCATCAGCAACAGCTCTACCCCCCGACGATGGCCCACCCTCATGTACCTCCCGACCCGCACGACTACCGGGGTGGCCGTCATGCGTACGAGCAGGACTCGCACTACCAGCATATGACGTCGCCCCGGCATGGGGGCGACTACGAACACGGAGCCATGCCACTGCCGCACCCGCCGCCGATGCAGCCTCAGAGCTCGAGCCCACCGCCGCCATCGCACGTTGCGGCGCCGCCAGGCACGTCGCACGGTCGGCGTCACATGCTCCAAACGAATCCCAATATGGACGCGAAGAAGGCGCAGCAAGCTCAGGCGCAAGCCTCGTTGCAGCAGCAGATGGAAGACAACAAGCGGCGCAAGGCCGAAGAGAAGCGCAAGAAAGACGAAGAGGACCGGGCCGAGCTCCAGCGCATCGAAAAAGAGCTCCAGCGCCAAGCCGAGCAGTACGAGCTAGAGAAGCAAGCCAAGGCGAAAGACCAGCGGCTCAAACAGCAAGTTCTCGAGCAAGATCTCAAGGCGCGCCAGGACGCTACCAAGCCACCTAGTGTACACGAACAAGCGCAACATGAAGAGCCACCACAAGTGCATCGCGAGCTACCGTTCGAACGCCCGTTCTCGCCGCAAGACAACCACTGGCAGCAACCACAACCCATGGACCAGCGCGGACCCTCGCCATTCGGGCAGCACGGAGGACCCGCTCCGTGGCAGCAGCATCAGCCGCAACAGCACCAACCAATGGCGTGGCACTCACAGCACCAGCCATACTCGGACCATGCACCGTCGTGGGGCCCCCCGCACGCATCGCATCCTGGCGCGTTTGAGCACCCCCATTCCGCCCCTTTTTTGCAGCCGTCACCGTCGATGCCAAGCTTGATGGATGAGCGCTTACACTACTTGACGCTGGAGCTGAGCCGGCAACGCGCACTTGTGGAGCAACTCGTGTACCAGAAAGCGCCGCCGCTGCCCGCGCCTGTTCCAACAGTTAATGACCTCGAGCGCCTCCGCATGGAAATGCAAGCCGAACTCGACCGACGCGACATGTTGCACCAGCAAGAACTCAACCGGCTTCGACAAGAGCACAGCGTGCGTGCACCGGTGTATGAAGGCAGTCCCCGGCGTAAACCGCTCACTGTGTCGTTCCCTCATGAGCCTACATTGGCTGAATCGCGAATGTCCCTACCACCGAGCCCCGGGCGACCCACGGTAGCGCCCAGCCCGACGGAGAAAGCATTCCCAGGCAACGGAGGGGCCTACCACATGCAATCGCACACTGAGCTGACGCACCAGCCATCGGCGAAGGCGCTACGCCGGGCGCCAACGGCAGTGTCGCGGGAGATGTCGCCGCGTCGGTCCATTCCGATTCGCGCACCGCCGAGCTCACCACCACGCTCACCCATTGGCAAGCCCTTCCCGGGTGCTGCGCAGTACAACCTGAACGCCACGAGCAGCGGTCTCTCACCAAAGAAGACGCGCAAGAACGCACCGATCGCGCCTGCGCAAAGAACACCTGCGCCACAAGTGGCGGTGCCAACACCGCGGGCCTCTCTGGAGCCAAACTTGAACCCGGACGAGGTTGATGACGACGACGCCAACGAGCTCCCAGCGCTGTCGTCGGTCGTCGAGTGCAATGAACTCGACGCGCAATCGGCATTTGTCGAGACGGAGATCCCGGCCATCATCGAGTGCGAGAGCCAAATGATCTACTTTGACGGAAGTGTGGACGCCAACAACATTCCCGAAGCGCCGTCCCTGCTCACGACGACACCAGTCACGACTGCCGCACTGGAAATGTCGGTCATCATATCGACACCAGAAGCGATCACGCTGCCACCGGCGACGGCGTCTTCTGAGAAACACCTTGGACTCCAAAATGTGGTCGAGGAAGACAACCAATTTGTGGTTGCTGCGCCGTCCACCTTTGATTCTGGCGAGGGCCGATACGACCTCCTGGGTGGGAACCAGGTCGACGACAGCTTCGACATTGATGAAGTTTACGAGCGCAACTGTGAACGCAAACTGCTGCTTCATGTACGTGCTGAAGACCCTCGGAAGGTACTCACTCATTGGCTTGCTGCAGAAAATGACGGCCGAGCCGCACCACTTGGAGAGCCTCGTATCGACGTTCAAGGCCGTTGGCTCCCGACGGACTTCGCGACCGGTATATTTGCCGTCGAACTATTTACCTGTAATGGCCTTTAGGTCGAGAATGAGCGCATGCTTGGGAGCTCGACGTGGCTGCAGGAAACCCCGCGCTGGCTCACGCCAAGTCTCTAGCACCGTAATTTACGAAAGAAAAACGTTCCAAAATACCGTTCCGGATAAAAAATTGTGAGCGGATTTTCAAAAGATCGCGGCAGTTGAGCAAGAGACGCGTAGCACGCATGGCCCCACCGACGGAAACTGCACCAGAAGGGACGGTCAAGGAGCGCCGGGACCCGAAGATCACCTTGGTACATGGGCTACACGCGGCTAGATGCATTGAACCGACGGCGTAGATGCGGGTCGAGATGACGACCGCCATGAAGGACGAGGCCATTTCGCACGTCGCCGAGAGCCTCGTGACCAATCTCATCGAGAAGGACATTGCGACCGACATGAAAAAGTATTTTGACCAAAAGTACGGACCCACGTGGCACTGCATCGTCGGCAAAGGCTTTGGCTGCTCGATCGCGTACGACACGCAGTTCCTCCTCTTCTTCAAGATGGACCAGCACTACCTGCTCCTCTTCAAGTCGACCGAGTAGTGCTGTGAATATACTTTCAATGTAGATACATGCAAACCACAACGAGCTACGCCTCGGCCTCGGGCGACGCCTTTTGGTAGTGGGCGAACGCGTGCTTCTTGGCCGCGCCGTCGACGTACGCAAGGAGCTCGTCGCTCATGTAGTACGTGCCCGTGGCCTTGTTGACCTTGCAGTCCTACAGCAGGCGTGACGCTGTGCTCGGCGATATGTTGCGATGACGCACCTCGCAAAAGCAGAGGAGGATCGTGTCGATCGCTGTCTCGTAGACGTTGAGGAACATTGTCGCGATGCCATAGGCGAGGAGGCCGCAGACAAGCAGCGGAAAGACGGGGCTGTTGATGTTTGCGACGTCGCCGAGGAAGAATGCTGGGAGCTGCTTGGGCGGGTTCGTAATGAAGAGGAAGAGCATCATGCACGAGAAGGCCGTGATGAAGATCTTCCCGAGGAAGAGAAGGAAGGTCGTGATGACGCTCACGGTCGCGACGCGCGCCGCGTTGGCGAGAAGCAGCGAGAACGACTCCTTCATCGACGAGCAGAACCCGTCGCCCTTCATGGCCACGATTATGTACGCGTTCCTAGGTTGGTATCAGTTCTGCATCTCAAATGGGCGCAGACTTGTTGAGGAACTTGATGCATTTCTCAAAGCACCAGAGGCAGCACTTGAAGCAGAGCATAGCGACTTTGACGAGCGTGTTTTGCTGGGCCGACTTGAGCTTCTGGTCAATGTACTCGAGCACGAGGCGGGCAAACTGGATGATGGCGACGATGAGCGACCCAAACGCGAGCGTCCCGAGGTGGTAGCGCAGCGCGCGATAGAACGACGCGATGATTGGAATGCGCCCGATTGTCTATGGAGACATTGACTGATGACGCTGCGCTGTCACGCGCACGCACCGATTTGTCTAGCGTCCAGTAATACTCGCAGACGGCGCCGGCCATCGCCATGTACCCGAGGTCCGAGAGGAATTGGACCGACCAGAGGAGTCCTACGTGACGCAGATCCCAAACCTGCTCTCGTATCAATCGATCTTACCAAAGAGGTGGTAGATGAGGAGGTAGTTGAGTACGTTGTCTTGCTCCATCGAAAACTGCGGCCGCGTCTGACCCGTCGCGCTGCCCACCGTGTCGACAACCGAGCCGAGCGAGACAGCCCCGGACGTCGCCAAGTACGCGGCGGTAATGATCCAGTAAATGACAAAGCCGGTAATGAAAAAGGCCGGAACAATCGGGAAGAGCACGAGGAAAGGAAGGCGCCCGATGGCTTTCGACGCTTCGCGGATGATGCCGACCGCGATGTGGATGCGCCCGCACATGAAGATGAGGAGGAGGAGCACGACGACGTCGACAGCGATGAAAATGTACGCAGCGTACGTCCAGTAGAGCGTTTGCGCGTTGACAAAGTTGATTTGCGCCGACGCCGAAGAGACGTCGGCCGTGATCGTAGCCACTTGGGCGGCCGAGAGACCTGACTTGAGGAGCGTGCTGGAGATATTGGTGTTGTCTACATCGCATAAGAGACGAGTGGAGTACGGTGGACGTACTGAGGAGCTCGCCGCGGTACGCGAGGAAGAAGGTTGTGATGAGCAACATAGCAATGACCAAGAGAATCGTGAGCCATACGAAAAAGCCGGCGCAGAATCGCATCAAGACGAGCCAGACAAAGCCGAGAATGAGCGCAAACTAGGTTAGAACGTTGAGATTTGCAACGAGACGACGAGAGAGGGTGTACCAAGGCGCCGCAAATCAAGACGGGGACCGCGGCCTTTTGCAGGTCCGAGAACCAGCCCATGATCATAAACCAGCCCGAGTTCATCGCATCAAAGATGGGCGATTGATTTGCCGGCTGCGATGTTGTCGTCTCGGTTTTCTACGTCGTTCGTATCGGTCAGTATCGACTCGAAAGATTGATGCTAGACGGACAAGCTGCACGTTCTTGCACGACGAGAGATGCTTGCGCTGGTAGTTGGTGCAGCCCATGCTGCCACAGTCGTAAAATGTAGAGTTGGACCCGCAAATGCTCGTGTTGGGGCTGGACGACGGGCAGTCGTCAACGCAGCGCACATAGTTGATCTGCTCTTGGTCAGGCAGCTCCAAGCAGCGATACATGACTAGTAGACTTGAGACCGTTCCTTTCGATTGGATAGAAGGGCATACCGCTGGTCGTGTTAATGTAGATCTTGAAGGGCGAGCCCGCGGCCGTGTCCTCCACGGACGCGCCGTACGAAACATTGGTCGTGCTCACGACATCGTGCTTCTCGTACGACACGAGCGCGTGCACGTAGAGCGGGTCGCCATTAGCGTCCAAGCTGCTCGGGCACGCCGAGACGCAGACGCCGTAGAGCTTCTTCAAGTTGGCGGGGTCCGTCGGGTCAAACTTGGTGTCAAGTTGCATGTCGTAGAGGTCCTGTGCGAGACGCGGGTACGCGAGGTACGTGTAGTTGGTCAAGTCGTACGCCGGCACGCCGTTGGCCGCCGACGTCGACTGCGTGCCGCAGATTCGACCCTTGAAATCCATGCCGTACGCAAGCCTACTCGAGCGTGAGCAACGCAGCTCTTGTCGTGCTGCGTACCGCTGCGGCTGGCCCTTGGTGTAGCTAACGATCGAAATGACGGCCATGCCGATCCAGAAGAGCACAAAGAAGAGGAGGCAGAGCACGTCCGTGCACTTGCGGCTCGACTTCTTGAACGGACTGCCCTCCGTTCCGTCTTGACCGCCCTTGGCTGGCGCCTAGTGCACGTGGCCATGAGCGCAGGTCGTAAGGCGGTCGTTCGTCTACCGTCGGCTCGGTGATGGGCTTGCTCGTCTTGCTGCCCATGATGCAAATCTCAAAGTGGAAACCCCTGCCTTTCACGGCAAATTTATAGAATCCGTTTCTCCAATTTGACGTTTCGTGGCATATTGAGAAGTAGTCCGGATCATCTTGCCGACGTACCCAACGACACCATTGCCTTAGCAAATAAGTTCTGAACCAGAGATACCGGCCGTGGGTGCATCAACTGTGCACGACAAGGTGCTACTAGCTCCACGTTTGACGACATGCCGGTTCCCAGCCCTTGCAGCCACCAGGTGCAGCGCTTGAAGAGAGACATTACTGCACCATGTTATGCTTCGTGTTGATAGCGTTGGATGTATGTGTTGCGACTCGTCGTCGCAGGCCCTAGAATCATGTCCAAGTACACTCGTATGACTGCGTCATCGTAGAGAGAGCTCGTTGGCGTCACGACGTACTCCATCGCATCCTGCACAACCTGACGTCGGTCGGGTCTACGTCATAATTTGACGTTAGAACCTCGCATTATCGAGGTTGTACGTGGAGAGCGCGAGCTTGGCGAGTGCTTTGGCGGCTAGCCGCTGTCCGTCCACGTCCCACGACGCGTCCACGAGCAGCGAGACAAAGAGCGAGACGCATTGAAACCGATCCACGACCCGGTCCCGCGCGTCCTCTTCCTGGAGCACAATGTTGAGGATTTGCAGCATTTGGCGCCGTTGGCTCGGGGCGTACAGCATGTCGATACAGATGGCGAGGATGTCGTCCTGCATCAGTCGGTGCACGAGCGATTCCTTCATCCGCGGGCTCTCATCGCGCTCCAGCAGCGAGGCAATGACTTCAGTGGCGACGTCGCGGATGGGTGGCGCCGTGTTGCAAAGCATCGCGATGAGACCGTTGCAGTGCAGCGGCTCGCCCGACTGCAAGAGGATACGGCCAAGGAGCTGCGCCGCCTGCTCTTGAATCCCGCTGGGGTACGTAGAGGCTGCACTGGTTAGCGATAGCAAGTAGTCGATGGCGCCGGGGTCCGACAGGACGGTGCTTGTCGAGAAGGCAGCGACTGACTGCATGACGGAGAGAAATCGACCAAGCACGACCATGTGGACAGTATGCGACGTGCGAAAGCTGCTGCCTGCCACGTGCAAGAGCTCGGTGAAGATAGCACGCTCCGCACTCGAGCCCGCCATTGCGGCGGCCCAGTCGTCTTCGGTGGCAGCCAACAGAAGGAGCTGCTTGGACGCGACATCAAGGCTCTTGGGTTGCTTGCTGTGCAAGAGGTACATGATTTCTTGCAGCGCCATGGGCGGCGACGACTGGTTGGACCGACTGCTGCGCGGCCGACGACCGAGTAGCGCAGAGTCCTGGAGGAGACAGAGCGTTGCGTCAATAGCGTGGGCAGCCTCCGGTGTCTTGACCGCGTCGACGAGCGCGAGGAGCCGGCTCGAGATGCCTTCTTCGAGCAAGAGCGTCTGGGCTTCGCGGCTCTCGGCGCAGAACGTGTGCAGTAGGCGTAGCAGTGTTGTAGGTACAAACGGGTCGTCTGGCAAGCGCTTCGTCGCCAAAAGCTGCGTGAAGAGGCGGGCAGCGCTGAGACAGTCGACCGACATGCAACGCTCGAGCACTTGGAGCGCAAGACGCAAGACTATAGCAATCCTAAGCGTATTCTCGACGAGGTTGCATTGCGTACTTTGCATGTCGGAGGAAAAGAGAAGCGAGCCGAGCACCTTGAAGGCGCCACAAGCCAGGAGGTCGGAGATGGCCACGATTGGGTCCTGCGTCATGGTCCAGAGCAGCTGCACCATGTAGAGCTACACTGACAACATGAGCATGCGTTTGTACGTGTAGTGAAGGCAATACCTGCCATTGGGACCAGGACGCAACGACCCGCTTGAAGGCGTCCAGAGGCGGCTCGTTGTCGTTGTAGGCGGGTTCCGTGTCGACGACGGCGTAAATGTGCTCCTCGGGCGCTACATATTTCGGCGTCATGCATTTGCATAGGGCTAGGCAAAGCCAATTGCAGTACTGAGCACTTGGGCGACCACGAGGGCGGGCGGGAGGAAGCACCCGGACGCGTTGGTGATGGCACGGATCGACACGGGTGGCTTGGCGCGAAAGACCGATGCGTACGCCACCTCAGCCGCGCCCATAAGGCACGCTAGCGTGTCGCCCTCGCCGCAAGAGATGACGTAGTGGTCGGCCGCCACGTGCACGTAAAGTAGCATGGGCCTGCTCGCTGCCCTTGCCTTCCAAGATCGGGCGTGGTATCCGGAATTCCTACCTACGTGGCGTTTTCATTTTTTATATCCGGAAATAGGTTTGAAATATAGTGTTAATTGGTTGCACCACATTGTTGTTGCGCTAGTGTACTGTTGTCATGGTACGAGGCAGGGTAGCAGTCTACTATTGCTTACTTGTTGCATCTCTTGTGATGCCTGCCACACCACGTGCTTCAGGGCAGGTTCTACAAGGCCGCCCAGGAGTGCACCGTTGCGTACACTAAATAGGTTATATAACTCTATTTCCGACTTCTCGTCTGGGGCGTGACGACTGGAAGGTCAAAAGCACTTTTTACCAAGAGGATGGCGTCAATCGAGCAAGCAGGTATCTTCAGCGCCCTCGAGTACTTGGCGTCGCTGGCTGCCAAGTCCAACTACGACTCGGAGAACGTCGAGGTGGGTGTGCAGTGCCTCAAGTAAGCGCGTTACGACCTAGCGACGTGGCGCGACCATGGAATCTAGGGAGGCGTTCAACGTCGACCCTGCGAGCGCAGCGACGAAGCAGGCGCTTGGCCTTGGCCAGCATCAGTTTGCCGACATCTTTGCCGCTGGCTGCAAAGCGCTTCACATTTCGTTTGAAGCTGCGGCGCCTGCCGCGCCGGAAGACCCGGTCATCGCTGCGAGTACGTTGCAGTGGTCGACGTGCAAAAGCTCAGACGACGATCTTCTATAGACCCGGCGCTGTGGCAAAAGTGGGTCTCGAAGCTTGAGACCAAGGGTTTCTTCGCGGGCGTCCAGAAGGGCACGCCGGGTACGTTCCACGCACCTTGCAGGCGCTTGTCGGCTCATGCGCACGCTCGTAGAGTACAACCAGCTCTACCAAAAGGCGCTCGGCAAGTTCAAAGAAAAGTTCGAGGCCAAGCCGACGCTCTCCAAGGAGCAGAAGGAGGCCAAGGCCGAGGAGCTCAAGGCGAGCGGCAACGCGGCGCTGACGGCCAAGGACTACACCAAGGCCGCGGACCTCTACAAGCAAGCGATTTCGTTTTCGGCTGACGGCCCCAACTCGCACATCTACTACTCGAACCTCGGCGCCGCCCAAATGTACTTGGAGGAGTACGAAGACGTTGTGGCGTCGTGCGAGAAGGCCATTGCCATCAACGTACGTTCCATCATGTTCGAATGGCTTAGCTCACCATTGTCTTCGTTTCATAGCCCAACTATGGCAAGGCCTACTCGCGTCTCGGCTCGGCGTACGTCCAGCTCGAGGACTTTGACGCTGCGATCGATGCCTACCAGCGCGGCCTTGAAGTCGACCCGACCAACGCTGCGTGCAAGGCCGGTCTCGCCGAAGCCAAGGGCAAGAACCAGCGTCTTCAGGTACATGGGTCCGCACTTAGCGCTACGCAGCTAATGTCTTGTGCTAGCCGACGACGCGCGAGGCGCCTGCGGCCGGTGGCATGCCTGGCGGTATGCCCGGCGGTATGCCCGGCGGTATGCCCGATCTGAGTGCGTTGGCGGGCTTGATGGGCGGTGCTGGTGGTGCCGGCGGCCTCGCGGGCCTCATGAGCAACCCTGCGATGCAGCAGATGGCGGCGCAGATGATGCAAAACCCGCAGATGATGTCGATGGCCCAGAACATGATGCAGAACCCGGCCATGATGAGCCAGATGATGGGTGCCATGGGCGGTGGCGGCGGCGCGGGTGCCGGTGGCATGCCGGACCTCAGCTCGATGCTCACGCCCGAAATGATGGAGTCGTTCCGGACCAACCCGCAGGTACGTTGCTGCCTTGCAACATTTGACTCACCGACACTTGACTAGGTGAACGCAATGCGTGGCGACCCCGACATGGCCGACTTCTTCCGCGACATGGACGCAGGCGGCCCGCAGGCGGCGATGCGGCACATGTCCAACCCTGCCGTGGCGGCCAAGCTCCAGACCTTGCTCGGTGGCATGATGTAAGCCGACGTAATGAGACCTGTTGTGGGTGTTTCGCGCCTGCAAGGAGTCGAAACGGACTTTTCAAGAGAAGGCGGCTCGGCGAAACCAACGACTGGTCGGCAGAGCCTAGCATTCTAGTTTTCGCTCTCCGCTAAGCAAAGGTACTCATGGGCCGCCATCAGTACACGACGAAGCCCCAGACATGGTTCTTCCTGAGCAAGCCTCGCATGTCGCCAACGGCGCGCTCGGTTGACCGGTGTACGCTTGAATCACGGAGGTGGCTAGTGCGAGACGCGGCCAAAAGGTGCTCACGTTCGCGACCTTGCCAACAGACGATCGCCCGAGACCTCGCTCTCGGTATCGAAGGACTAGTGCGTGCTCGCGCCCGCATCGGTGGGCGAGGCCCGACCCAACTGGGGCGCGTGGTTGCGTGGGTTTTGTCTTCTTTCGCCACGATGACTCGGCGACGGCGGGACAAGTTGTGGCGGCGCGATGGTCCGACAAGACTCTCACGGTAGCCAACGCCAGTGGCGCCTTCGACGTCGGAGCGGATGAGGTGCAGCGGGGCCACCCGGTTGGAGCCTCGGATTTGTGGCGAATTGAGGATGAACTCGGCAACGGCGCCACGGCCACGCGACGCTTCACAGCTAAAACACATTGTTCGAGACCATGTGCAGCCGAATTGAAGACTCGACGCGACGCCGACAGCGGACACTCGGTTCGAGATCCGCGCACCAGCGACTGGCGAACGCACGACTCGATCAGTCCAGCACGTCGCCGACTTCTTTCCTTTCTAGCCATGGAATGTCACGGGCGCCGGGAGGATGCGGCCGTCGGTGCGACGTTCTGGAAAGACCCGCTTTGAACGCTTACCGGCCGTTGCGGGAGCACCACACGCCCCGTA